TTCTTGGACCAAAAATTCTTCCCAGAAGCGTACCAGTGAGAGGCACTGAATATTGGCAGTACAAATCAATACTGCAAATTCAAACGCCAAACATTGACCAATGTTCACATCATCTCTATACTTGGCTACTCTTGTATCATCATCTATCGCCTCAACGGTGAAACGTAAATTATGGCGGAGACCTTCGATGCTTTTAGGTGGAGCCCTTTTTTCTCACAGACTAGCCAAAATTAGGACAATGCTCTATGGCGATCGTGCTTTTCTTGGTGTTGGTGTTGGTTTTGCTAGTCAGTCAGTGCTTGTGTACTTATCAAAAATGGCTCCTTACAAGTTCGTGGCGCATTGAATATGGTTTTCCAATTGTCGATTACGATTGGTATTCTCGCAGCCTATGTAACAAATTACTTTACAGCAACGATGAAGAATGGCAATGGATGGCGTTACAATTTGGGATGTGCAGGAGTTGCCTACCCCAATACCCCCAACTCTTTGATTGAGCATGGTAAAGAAGAAGAAGCAAAAAAAAAGACGTCAAAAAATTCGAGGTATAGACAATGTTGAGGAAGAATTCAATGATTTGATTAATGCAAGTATTGAATCAAAGAAGATAAAGCATCCTTGTGCAAAACTTTTCTCTAGAAAATACAGGCCTCAGTTGATAATAGTTACTTTTATTCCATTCTTCCAACAACTCATAGGAATGAATGTTGTTGACCTCGGTTTTTGGGCCTCTAACCTGGCCAACAGATCACAGTTATACTCACGTCCATGTAAGCTTCCTTCCTATACACGTGGACAAATCGTTAGTCACCCCGTGACCTTCTCGATAATGGGGGGGGCGGCCACAAGAACTCCAATGGTAAATTCAGTTGAAAATGAATATATTGATCAATGTGAGACGTGCTAAAGACATGAACCACAAAATGTGTATGTATGTCGGGAATAATATAACGAAAGGAAGGGTGAAATATTTACATATATTTGTAAAAAGTTGCATTACCCCTTATCGGGCTAGGCGTAACGATAATCTCTCAAGCACATGTATGAATATTCATATAATGAGTAACAATACTTGCCAGGAAGCATTAAATGCTCGCATACCTTTGAATTGATTAATTAACACCTAGGAAGAGACACTCTGACCAGTAGATAGGTCACATATCTCTTCATCCAATAACCCAAAATTCACATATTCCACCATATAAACTCACCACTAGCAGTTAGCACCATTTGAGGGGTAATGCAATTTTTTACATATATACATAAATATTTGTCCCTTCCTTTCGTTATATTATTCCCGACATACATACATATTTTGTGGTTCACATCTTTAGCACATCCCACAGCTAATATATTCATTTCTTCAACTAATTTGACCGTCGAAGTGCTCGTGACCGCCTTCCCCATCACCTGAGAATGCCACGGATGACTAACAATTTGCCTAAGTGTGTGGGAAAGAAACTTACGTGGACATGAGTATAACCGAGATCTGTTAACCAAGATTGTTATGCCTCGCCAAAGAGGCTCCAAACCCTCCATGCAAACATATCACCTCGAGCAAAGTAATCTACTTCTGCTATACATGTATAGGTGGGGTAGGCAAATTTTATTATTATTATTATTATTATTATTATTATTATTATTATTATTATTATTATGTTTTTAGTTTAATTATTATAATTGTGTTTTTTGAGGGAAAAATGTAAATGTATATTTTTCATTTTTGAATTTGGTCAAAATTAGTCGAAATCCACTTTTCTTGATCAACTAACAGTCAAATGATCCATTTGTCCTAGTACTGCAACAAAATGAAAGGGTTGGAACTATGAATGATACAAAGTGAGGATTGAGATAAAATCTGCAAAAAAAAAAAAAATTGAGACCGTTGCTGCAATTATCTCTGAAATAAACAAAAAGCTTTTAGGAATTGTATTGGGCCCTACATTTTTTTTTGGGATAATTAGGTCAATTACGGTAAAAAAAGATGTAATTAGAATACTACACTTAAACTTAATTATATATCTAATTACAGTATTAGTTACGCCGTGCTCAAATCCATCCGGAAACATAGGCGGATAAACGATTCCCTCATGTCCAAATTGTTTTCTCTTATTAAAATTTTTATTATTAACATATTTTCATTTGATATTGTATTTTACACTACAATTATCCATTTTGAGTGATTCAAAAATTTGTTAGAAGCTTGCAATGCGATCAAGGTAAATATGTTATTGACGATATTTAAAAATAAAAAATTATCTTACATAAATTATTATGTAAAACTATGATTATTAATTTTTCTTTCTAATTTCTCCTAATTGATATCAATGTAAAAATTTAAGAAGTTTAAACCATGATTATTAAGTTCATTTATTGTGGCCATTTTCGACTTGTAATTATGAACTAATCATTTATTAATTTTAAATTTGAAAGATGTATTACAAAATATGTCGTGAATACTTCGATACGATAACAAAAACCTCACCCGAAGAGTGAAGAAACATAGTCATTAAATAAATCAAAAGTTATTTTTTCTAAAAAAAGTGACACGTATGTCTTTGTTTTTAATTTCTGTTTTTTTATTGTTTGTCACTTTTTTTAAAAAAACCGTGACACCTTTTTTTTAGTGTATGTCATTTTTTTGAGTGTTTGTCACTTTTTAATTTGTCACTTTTTTTCTTAATTTCATCATTTTTTTAGTGTGTGTCAAATTTTTATTTTTCGTCACTTTTTTTTGAAATGTATAGATAAGAGTTGTTTGATGCAAAGAATCAAAATTAGGAATTCTTTAATGAATGGAATAGCAATCAAAATGGGTTAGCCCCAACAGCAAATTTGTGTGTGATAATACAGGAATGAGATCACAATTATGCACCAATGTCACCTGATCATGCTTTGATTATACCACTTTTTTTGTCACTTTATTGAATTGATTCCAATGAATCACAATCATGCAACAAATGTCACTTGGTCATGCTTTGATTGTGTCACTTTTTTTGTTACTTTATTGAACTCATTCTAATGTTTTAATTGGTGTTTTGTCACTTTTTTGAATTTCTATCACTTTTTTTAATGTTTGCCACTTTTTTAATCTTTGTCAATGTTTGTCACTTTTTTTAATCTGTCACTTTTTTTATTCACTTTCTTGATTTCTATCACTTTTTTAGTGACAAACGTCAAATTTTAGTAAAAGTGACATTGTATGTCATTTTTAATAAAAAAGTGACACTTAACTTTGAAGTGACAGTGGATCACATTTTCATTGTCACTTTTTTTTTTACGTAATCATCATGTGGATTGGTCTAAATATGGTGATTATTTTAAGAACGTGATTATTAGTGTTGCACAAATGGATTATGCTATTTTAGTACTTGTCACTGTTTTTTAAAAAAGTGACAATTTTTATAAAAAAAAGTGACATTGTGTCACTTTTTTATTTTACACAGTATTTTTTACTTTCTAAAAACCTTTCACATGATTTTTCAAATCACCCCTAATTTTAAGGGTATTTTTGTAAGTACTCCTTATTTTTTTTTTTTTAAAACTGAAATCTAGGCCCAACTACAAAGAGCAGAACAGTGCCCGGTTCACTGTAGTCCATCTTAAAATTCAACTCGTTATTTGATTGTGGACACAACTGGCTTACTGATTCTATAACTTTTGTTAGAAATTTTTTAGGTTGAATAATTCAATTGTTAAATGGAATTTTAAAAATATTTTTCAATTGCTATTACACTTTAAAAAAAAAATTCGAGTTAGTACTGAACTTAAAAATGTTATTTCATTCCTCACTCTGTCGCTCATCATTATAAAAGCTAACAGACTCGATGGCATGACAGGCAGAATCTTTACACGTTGGCATGCTTTTCATCGTTAGCACATGCCATGTCGGCAAAATCTCGAGCGACATGCATTTCCAAAACTATGAGTGAGAATGACGAATGAGATACCATTTTGATAAATTCAGTAATAACTCAAAAAACTTTTAAAATTTAATGAAAAATGAGAAACGTTTCAAAAAATTCAGAAACAATTCAGAAAATTTTTAAAAGTTGACGACAATCAGAAATCATTTTAAAAACTTAAGTTGCAAATATTTAAAACATACAAAATTACCAAGACACTTTCAATGGGCAAAGTATCCGGACACTTTGAAAAAGTATTGTCGAGTGTCACGGGCAAACAGAACATAAAGATTATACCATTTTGTGTTCAAAAGTCAATCGTGTTCTTTTCATCATTTTGGTGCAATAATTAACTTAATTATTGCCAAAGGATAATTTAGCATGGCCGCCAACTTATTTTATCCTTACAAGCAACAAGGAATCTCGTGCTTGAAAATAATTATTAACTTTTTAATACTAAAACATTTGTCAAAATACAAAAAAGCACCCTTTTTCAAGGGTTTAAGTGGCAAATAGAACTCTTGTATAAAAAAATTTCAAAATGAAAATATTTTTAATTATCTTTCAGCTCTAAATTACGTGAAAGTTGTCTACGATTTGGCCGTTCACATTGACGATTTAAGTTAAGTAGGGATAAATATTCTCATATTTATATAAGACGAATACAAAATCTCACTTTGAAAATGTCAGAGAACCGGGTTCACTGCTTTAAATGTTGAAGAACTCGAACTTAATTTTTGAACCTTAGAAAATTGTTGCATAGCAATTATTTACTAAACCTTTTTCTTTACACAAGGTTGCAATATACAAATGGGAGGCTAAGGCATCACTTCAAAATGGGCATACCACATAAATGCCATTTTTTTATTACAAGAAAGTAAGTAAATCATTAAAAATAAACCCAATACAATATAGATATATATAGTCAAAAAAGAAAAATATATGTGCGGATTTTATATCACCTGAGTGTGTGCAGTACGCAATATTAGATAGGAACTAGATACAATAAACAAACGTTTAGGCTTTTCTTCCGATCTAACTTACCACACATGAGGGATTTTGTCGCATGTTTACTCGAACAAGTCCAATTAAGAATCAGAATGTCTCCCAATTTGTTGTTACCACAACTGGCCCTGGAATCCTCTCATTTCTCATACTGCCAAGGGAAGAATTTCTTATCTTAAGGATATCAAGAGTTTCAATGTATTTCTGCACCCTTTTCACCTTCAAATTCATTGAATTCAAGAAAATTGACATCATTTTTTACGAAAATTCGACCCCGAAAATTAAAAGATTTGATTAATAATATAAATAGTTACCTGCATTCTTCTCTGCATTTTCATATCTCCTTCTGCAGAAATTCCATCCAATTTAATCAGTTGTGTCATTAACAATTCAATCAAATTCAATAAAACTGTCTCCACAACTTTTTTCCCACAATTTATCTCCAATTCATTCAATGCCACCTGCAGAAAATCATCAAGAAAATCAGGAAAAAAGAACAGAATATACAATGAAATGGCAAAATTATCACCTGTTTTGCAAGTTTGTCAACTTCAAATCTAATTGCTGCAATTTCTTTTGATGCCTTCTCCATTTTCGAAGCTTGTAACGATTCAAGATGTCGTCTCTCTTTGCTCAATTCATCTTCAATTAGCATAATCTTTGATCCATCTTTCACTCCAGCAACATCAAGAAAAGTTTTTGAATCTCTCTCTTTGTCCTTGTATATCAATTTCTGATCCCGCGAAGGTAGTCCAGTCGGCTCCGCTAGCATTTTCTTCAATTCACCTGCACTTAAAAACTATGATCCATTAGCATAAACAAATTTAAGATCAAGAAAATGGAATTCATGAAAAATAGACTCAAAATCTGATGGAATACTTTAAAATCCTAATGCCAAGGCTTCAAGAATTGCATACATTCAAACCAATGTTTTAAAAGCCGAACAGGGCATTGACTCGAAAAAAGTTTCAAGGGTCAAATTGTCGAATTGGGATCGAACTTCAAGAATAGAAATTACCAAAACTTGCTTGAGAATTAATGTTGACTTCATGATATGATCTGCCATATTTCACTTTGACTTTGATGTTGGGAACATGACTGGAATTCTGAGTACAATCTGAACTTCTTCTTTGTACTAACATTCCTCCAGGCCTAACCTCCCACGCCTCAGAAACACCACCGGCAGCGGCGGCGGTGGATTTTACGGGTGAAGAAATTCCGGCAGCCTTAGTCTTCATTCTGATCAGATTATCTTTGTTCATGGTTATACACAAGGACTTCTTGACTTCTTGTTATATAGATCACACAATATGACCAATGCAATCTATGAAAAAGATGAAAAAGTTGATGAAGATGATTTTAACTACTTGTCTGCTAAGCTAAGAACAAACCCATGTATAAAGAAAGAACCCAATTCTGACCCACAACGTCCGACTAACAACAACAATATGGTCTGAATGTATAAATACAAATCCCTATAAGTAATGAACAACCACCATAAGCTAGTTTTTGAGTCAGTTCAGGGTTTCGAGGGAAGTTTCATAAAAGAAATATGATAATGATTATTACAGAATCTATCTATATATGTATAAAGAAAGACACAGAGAAAGAGTCGGGAAGAAGAATGGAAAGATAGAGGTTGTTAAAGAGAGATGCCTTTGTTGTGGATGGGTGGGTTGTTTTCCTTTTTCTTTTATTTGGTATTGTTGAATACATTTAAACATCATTTAAATAAATAAGCCCCCCGTTTGGTTTGAATAAAAATTATATTTTGACTAATGGGAAAACTTTTGAAATTCAGTGATCTCTTGAAAACCTTACACAAAGTTTAGTGACTCATTAGGTAATATATCAATCTTTTATGTTTTTCAAATTTTTTTCTTTCTTTAATCGCAAAGAAGTCGACGGACAATTTTATTGGTTACCTCTAGGATAAAACACTACTCTTCTTTCTAGTACCAACCTTCTAGAAACATTTTACAAAATTCAATGACCAGTCAAATAATTATCCCCAGACATGGGCTAATATGTTTTGGGACGTATAAGGTAATGGATGCATGTAAATGTTTTTTCAAGTGGACAGAGATTGGCCCTCGAGTGCAATGGTAAAAGGGAGTTTGACTGCAAAACCTATTGGACGAGTAGTGACAAAGTTGGCCTTAGTGATCGACGATTTTCTCTCTAATAGTCCATGTACAAACGTTTTAAGTTCAAATTCCGTTTTAAAATTTTTCCTCCTAACAACTTAATGTCTTGATATTTATTTTCATGTGAGATGATTTGATAGATAGTAAATCAACGCCGATTAATATATAATAATGAACAAGTTGGAGTAATGAAAATGAATTCATGCAAGGAACTCTAAATTATTGGAGATAAGACTCAAAACCCTTTTTTTTTTTTTTTGGTTGGCAATTTATACTTCACTGACATGATGAATAATGTGAATAATATGCTATAAATGCTAATGAAACAATAGACATAATCAAATTACAAGGTAGATTTTTTTTTTTTTTTCGTGTTTGCATAAATTAGGTTAATGAATAAAGATTAAGAATGTTGTTTATGGTTTACTTCTGTTTTCGTTAATATAGTTTAGACTTCTCGTAGTTTATTTAAAGAAGACCATCTGAATAACTTCAGTCTGCGGTTACATAAGAGAGCCTAATAAACGATCAAGGAGCAAGCGACACTCTCTTATGACTACATTCTTAAGAATAATATTGCAGCATTACCATAAAATTAATATTTTATGAGAAAATTATAATTGAGTTCAACATGCAATAATTGTGTACATAATTCCCATCTTATCCATTCATTTGGAGAATAACTTTAGTCATATCTTATAGGCACCAGACAAGTAAACAACCCATCGAAAAGGTTCAAAGAAGAAAAGTTACAAGAATCCCATGCCCAAATATGTGATATAACAATTAAAAATTTCCGTGTTGTCTACCTTCTCAAGGGTTAATAAAATATGCATGTAATGGTGATTTTCTCAAACAAACATAAAATAAACAATGAATATTAAAGAAAAAAAAAGTAAAATTTTTTTTAATTGTCCTATTCAAGTCAATCTTGACGTCGTATGCGTACTAAATATAACTTAAAAATGCTATTTTTGAATTTTTCATTCTCCACTCCATTGTTTACATAAACCAGGATAGTTATGTCCAATTACATACAAATCATTTAAAAGTACGTAGCTTAAGTGGTTAATGCTACTTATTTGACGTTTATACTCAACTGTTGGGCTACATAGCGTTACTAAAAGTTATTTACTTCGATATTTGTTTTTCATGGGTTAACAATACAATTAAATTGTGAATGGTATACCGAAGTAGACCATACAAGAAAATAGAGAATAAAATTAGAGTAGATATATTAGTGTAGATTAAGTAGAATAATATTTTTAAATTTTTTTATTCAAGGTATGTTATTTGAACTATTTTTCTTAAGCCGAATAAGATAGCATTCTTTTAAATGAAAGACTTATCAACACTATCTCCTCTAGTTTATGCATAATTTCTTGTACGATATAATTATCCGGTACCAAACGTAGCCTTAATGTATTAATTGTACTACAGTATCTCATTCATTAAATAACAACAAAATACATCAAATTATTGTCTATTATACTATTCAATCTCGTTTGCTTTTATATAATACTAAATGACTCGAGCTTTGATTACGACAAAAGAGGTTTATCGAAAGTAATGGGCTGCCTTCAAAGAAGGCAGGCTTGCCAGAATGCTTCCGGCTCATAAGCTGGACTAATTATAAGTTAGTTAGTGGTCAGTTCAAATTGCCAGAGACATTGATGTTAACTCCCTCCAAGCAAACATCTCAAGTGAAATGCTTTGTTTAGTAGCTATCTTCTGCAAAAATATATAAATGCATGTGTCTCCCCTTTGAATTGATGTCTTTCTTGGATACTCTCATCACTTGAACCAATTCAATTATTTAAAGCAACAAAATTATTTCCCTGTCAGGTTATTTTGGATCTTCATCTCATTCCAATCAAAGGGTTTTAAGAGATTTTTTTCTCTTTTGATATTGATGGAGTTTTTGGTTTTCTTCTCGCTTGGATTTTTCTCGTAGACAAGAATATAGCGATCAAAACTAGCTTTGTTGGGTTTGATCAAATGTAACAAGTTGCATAGTAACAAAATGACAGACATTGTACATATAAAGAGACGGAGTTTTAACACATAAATCTTTTATTTGAACACCAAGACTGGATATGATCCGATTCGATTCAGTTCTCTTTAGAAATGAACCGAACTCAAATTTTCGGGTATTTAGTAGAATCGTTGGGTCCAAATTTAATCATAGAACCGTACGAGTTCGGTTCGATTCTCAAGTTCCGTACGATAATTAATTTTTCTTTTTTGTATTTACAACAACGCTACATTAATTCAACTATGACATATTCAATCTTAACTCTTACAATATAATATAGTTTTAATCCTGTGATATCTTTTGCTCGTCTCTTTGTTGAATTCTTTATAGATTTAACTGTTAAAATCACAGAAAAATGAAGATAGCCAGCTCACTATAATGAAGAGAAGCGCAGTCAAAATTCCAATTCAATTTCTCTAGAACATCAAAAAGGGCACTACAGTAGAATAAAAAATTTGGGTAAAACTTATGTCAATTTGATTAAATTGGACATGGCTAGAAATTAGAAATAAGAAAATTATATATTGGGTTTGAACTAAACTAATTAGTTAGCAAATTTATTTAGAAAAAATAAAATAATTTGACTTATTTAAGATTTAAAAAAAAGATTAGTGAGATTCAGTTTTTATTCGATTTTTCAGTTATTGGTCTAGACCTTTTTTTCAAATTATCAAGATAGGAAGGGTTGAAACCACTTCTCCAAGACAGTTTGAAAAAACTCTTGGTCACATAAATCTTGTCTTCGAATGATACCTCATCTCACATTCATTCCAAAATGTTTAAAAATACACTCAATGCCCTGACTATCACGTCCCAACTTTTTCATAATAATACATGCTTGGTGAATAGTAAAAATAGGTGGGGTTCAAGGCCAGTTCATCAATGGAATGCAAAAAACTTTCCTTTCGTTAACAACCCATCTCTCATTTTCATTCCAAAACGTTTCAACAAGCTCATTGGCAAGACTATAGCAGAAATAGATCGAGTAATCTATTCCTTTATCCAAGAAAATGTATTTCTAGTTTGCATGGTCTAATAATTGATCCAAAAATTTCTACAACAAATTGAGTAGGTTGCTACTTGCTAGTATAGCTCCCTATCCACGATTTTGCTATTTACCGGTGCCGTGACTTAAGGAAACATGTTGAGTAAATAGTTAAGATAGGTGGGGTTCAAGGTCAATTCATCAATGTAATGCAGAAAACTCAAAGTCAAAAAATCTCGTCTTTGGATAACAACTTATCTCTCATTTTCGCTCCAAATTGTTTCTAAATAAGCTCGTTGGCACAACTATCAGACCCTAATTTTTCTCAATGAAACATGTTTAGTAAATAATCAAGATAGGTCAGGTTCAAGGTCTATTCATCAATTTAATGCAGAAAACTGAAATCACAAAAATCGCATCTTTGGATAACAACCCATCTCTCATTTTCATTCCAAAACGTTTCTAAATATGTTCATTGGCACGATTATCGTGCCCCAACTTTTTCATAACGAAACATGTTGAGTAGTAACTCATCAAGATAGGTGGGGTTTGAGCCCAGTTCATCAATGGATAATTCTTGGAGAGAACTACGCAATAATAGGAGTCCTAAACATTGAAGCACATGGATTGAGTAGTGTAAGTCAGCAAACAAACATAGGAGTGGTCCATGGATACCCTTCTGGCTTGGCTGCAAAGACAGTCATCCAGCTGCCTTCATCAAGACAAACATCATTATATTGGGTAACTTTGGTCCTACAATATGGTTCCATTCATTCATTTATACTCACTTTTCCTTCTATGTAGGGTTTCATATAATTGTGGCTACTGTACTTTCATTTTGGCATCTAGCTAACACAATTTTTATCAATTTTATTCCTAAATTTTTGGAATAGATATTAAGAGAGTGTTTGATGTAAATTAAAATCAGATTTTAAGTGGATTGTGATAGAAGTTTTTGAAATGTGTGGTTTCAACCCCTCCTATCTTGATAATTTGAAAAAGGGTCTAGACCAATAACTGAAAAGTCCGGTCGAGGTTCTATCACATGGAAATACTATTTAATGGAACTTTAGTTGTGAGATATGATAGCTTCTTTATGGTCTAACATTCTTGCCAATACATTGTCTTCATTTTGCTTTAGCTTGTAATCTCTAATGATATCACATGGAAATACTATTTAATGGAACTTTAGTTGAGAGTAATGATAGCTTCTTTATGGTCTAACATTCTTGCAAATACAATGTCATCAT